ATTGGTTTTTCATCAAATACTGTTGGAACTGGTATTTCAGCCTTGTCCAGTACATCAACAGGGCTAGGCGTTTTCTCTATCTCAAGTTTGTCAACAATCGGTATTTCAACCTTGTCCATCTTATCAACTGGGCTAGGCGTTTTCTCTTTCTCAAGTTTGTCAACAGGTGGTTTTTCATCGACTGCAATAAGAACTGGTTTTTCATCCTCGTCCATCTTATCATCAGGGATAGGCGTTTTCTCTTTCTCAAGTTTATCAACAGTTGGTTGTTTATCGATTGCAGTAAGAACTGGTTTTTCATCCTTGTCCATCTTTTCAACAGGGCTTGGCGTTTTCTCTTTCTCAAGTTTGTCATCAGCCGGTTTTTCGTCGACTGCAGTCAGAATTGGTATTTCAGCCTTATCCATCTTATCATCAGGGCTAGGCGTTTTCTCTTTCTCAAGTTTGTCAACAGCTGGTTTTTCATCGACTGCAATAAGAACTGGTTTTTCATCCTCGTCCATCTTATCAACAGGGCTAGGCGTTTTCTCTTTCTCAAGTTTGTCAACAGTTGGTTTTTCATCGACTGCAGTCACAACTAATTTTTCCACCTTGTCCATCTTATCATCAGGGCTTGCCGTTTTCTCTTTCTCAAGTTTGTCAACAGGTGGTTTTTGATCGACTGCAGTCAGAATTGGTATTTCAGCTTTGTCCATCTTATCATCAGGGCTAGGCGTTTTGTCTTTCTCAAGTTTGTCAACAATTGGTTTTTCATCAAATACTGTTGGAACTGGTATTTCAGCCTTGTCCAGTACATCAACAGGGCTAGGCGTTTTCTCTATCTCAAGTTTGTCAACAATCGGTATTTCATCCTTGTCCATCTTACCATCAGGGCTTGGCGTTTTCTCTTTCTCAAGTTTGTCAACAGGTGGTTTTTCATCGACTGCAGTCAGAATTGGTATTTCAGCCTTGTCCATCTTATCATCAAGGCTTGGCGTTTTCTCTTTCTCAAGTTTGTCAACAGTTGGTTTTTCATCGACTGCAGTAAGAACTGGTTTTTCATCCTTGTCCATCTTATCATCAGGGCTTGGCGTTTTCTCTTTCTCAAGTTTGTCAACAGCCGGTTTTTCGTCGACTACAGTTGCAACTGGTATTTCAGCCTTGTCCATCTTATCAACAGGGCTTGGTGCTTTCTCTTTCTCAAGTTTGTCAACAGTTGGTTTTTCATCGACTGCAGTAAGAACTGGTTTTTCACCCTTGTCCATGTAATCATCAGGGCTTGGCGTTTTCTCTTTCTCAAGTTTGTCATCAGGTGGTTTTTCATCGACTGCAGTTAGAATTGGTATTTCAGCCTTATCCATCTTATCATCAGGGCTAGGCGTTTTCTCTATCTCAAGTTTGTCAACAATCGGTATTTCAACCTTGTCCATCTTATCAACAGGGCTAGGCGTTTTCTCTTTCTCAAGTTTGTCAACAGTTGGTTTTTCATCGACTGCGGTCACAATTAGTTTTTCCACCTTGTCCATCTTACCATCAGGACTTGGCGTTTTCTCTTTCTCAAGTTTGTCAACAGGTGGTTTTTCATCGCCTGCAGTCAGAATTGGTATTTCAGCCTTGTCCATCTTATCAGCAGGGCTTAGCGTTTTCTCTTTCTCAAGTTTGTCAACAGGTGGTTTTTCATCGACTGCAGTCAGAATTGGTATTTCAGCCTTATCCATCCTATCTACAGGACTAGTCGTTTTCTCTTTCTCAAGTTTGTCAATAATCGGTATTTCATCCTTGTCCATCTTATCAGCAGGGCTTGGCGTTTTCTCTTTTTCAAGTTTGTCAACAGTTGGTTTTTCATCGACTGCAGTAAGAACTGGTTTTTCATCCTTGTCCATCTTTTCAACAGGGCTTGGCGTTTTCTCTTTCTCAAGTTTGTCAACAGGTGGTTTTTCATCGACTGCAGTCAGAATTGGTATTTCAGCCTTATCAATCTTATCATCAG